AATTTTTTTTTTCTTTCTTTTAAAGACAACTCCAGCACTAGGAATAAATCCTGTGTCGCGGGGGACTTTACAAACATACATGAAACGGACACAAAGTACACCCAGACTCAGAACAACAATTTGTGGTTCACACAAAGTGTTGTCCCATGTGGGGTTTGAACCCACAACACTCGACGTAATAGGAAGCGGCGTGGCGACCGCTTAAACCACTACGCCATCTGTGCAGTCTTTGAGTCCCGCTTGTCACCACTGCGATTGCAGTGAGGACTTGACTTGCCGGCTTGGAAGTCACAGCGTCGGATCCTCATTAAAGTCATGGGAGAGGATCTCTCGCTACCGGCCGTCATACACTCCATGGCCGGTAGTGACAGTTGTTTTACCGCGGTCGCATCCTTCTGCGAGATCACGTCTTTACGTTTCCGATAGAAAGCGTGTTTTTTAGTTTTTTTTAAACTATAATTGTTTTTCATGTTTATTACCTCAAAACTCTTTCATTTGTAAACCAACCAACCTTTTTTATTTGGAAAGGTATATTTCCCCTTCAATTCCATTCAAATATGAAGAAAAAATAGCACTCCTAGGTATGGAAAGTTAAGTAATGTGGAAAACAATGTATTTTCGGGTTCAAAATTGAATGTAACATCTTAACACCTTTTCTAAATAAAGTAACGGACTTATTAAACTTTATTTAATATAATATAACATACTACAGTTTGGTACTATACATTACGGTAAGTAGTGTTTTAAATATCGTACTTTTCTACTCATTACTAACATATTTTACACTAAAATGGTAACTTAAATCCTTTAAAAAAAAAGTTGAACCGACTTCAAACAATATTGACAAAGAGTTTGAAGTCGACTTCAAGTAGACTAGAAGGGACTATTGCTATTATAATGATGCCTAAAATATTTAGGGTACTTATTACAATGTTTTTACTTAGATTTGTAATTTTATTTTAATTTTTAGTGCTCTTTGTCAGTATTGTTTGAATTCGATTCAACTTTTTTTTTAAAAGATTTATCTTGTTGTTATTAGATAATACGTTTCTTCGGGTTATTCCATAACACTAACTCCAATTACAATCCATTAGAATCTAATTTAAATCAATCAAATAACTTTTATTAAACGAGGTAGTTTGTAGTTGCTCCGATATATTAAATTACAGCATTATATGCACTACGAGCTCTTGAAATTTGTAGTGTTTACCCTCTTTTGCCGGCTTGTGGAATAAAACGTAAAACTGACGCCATTTATAAATTATTAATTAGTATTTAATTTGCTTTACTTTAACAGTACCTATTAGGACAGATAACAAATAAAAAAGGGATAGGTTCAACCTATGTCAAAGAACCGAATTGATTGACCCGACTCCACCTAGTACGAGTCTGTCCTACCCCTAGAGTGTTTTTATAGAGACGGAGGCGCTCAGGGAGAGCAGCACCCTTCCGTAGGGGGAACCCCTTCTTCACCTCCAAGTGGTCCCCCTTGTTTTGCATACTTATTATTCATTTGAATCCATAAAATGAGGAAAATTTCCTCAGAATTAAAAATACTCGAAATAGCAACTTGGGGCTTCGTAATTTTTCCTTTTAAGAGGAGGTGGTAAAACGCGTTAAGAGATCGTATAGTCCGCTGAGCGTTCCTAAGAGGGATATGCAATAATACAGGGCCTAGAAACGCGCGCTTCAGTAGGGCACCGGCACGGGGCAGGTTTACGTGGTAAGCGAAACTTAAGTTTATTCGCGTACGTTAAACTCGTTTCGAGTTGCGATACCCTCCATTTAACGCTAAAACTTCGCTAACTTCGTTTCAAGTATTATTATTCAAAATCAGCATACAATGAGTAAATTATTTTTTGATTGGCGATAATCAGTACAGTAATACATAACATAACATGAAATTAAAATTATAAAAAAAAAAAACGTACCTAACTGTCAAAAACAAAAGACGCGCGCGGCTACTGACTCTGCGTTCCGGGTCGAATTCGCGATATTATTGATTTTATCGCAGTTCGAAACACAGGGTGAATGCACTGCACTCGGATAAATATTGAAAATTTACCGATAATATGCATCATAACTAGATCTTAGGTAAAATATGCTATTACCGTTGATAATGGCTTAAATAAGCAAAAGCATATGCAAATATGCAAATACTTATAATCCGGTCTCTACTTATTAAGCTTAGCTGTGGCACGCTGTGATTGCATTTATGAAACATGAGGAACAAAACTGTATTTGAAGCGTGTTGGCTGCTTCGGCGAGTACCTGAATCGGATTTGCCTTGCCTTCGCCTTTAAACTTGCTTATTGAGTTAAAAAAAATATCATCATTAATGAAAATTTTATTGTAACAAATTAACTGGTATTCATTATAAATGTGGAGGTGAGTGTATATTTAATTTTGTTTGCCTTAATCACTTAACAGATTTTAAAAATTCTTTCACCAATAGAAAGCTAGATTATCAGCGAGTAACATAGGCTGCTTTTTACCGCCATAACCGACATGCACGCAGACAGAGCCACATTCAAAAGCTGGTAACTGAATAAATAAACAAACTAACGTCAATACTAAACTTATTGACTTAGAATTGACGTTTGAGGTTGAATATTTTAGTATAAATTTGATTTTATGTCTAATCGTAATTAGTTTTTTAAATCAACTTTTGTGCATAAAATTTGCCACGTGTCCAGAACGTTGATTACGCAGTTTATTTATTTACTAGACTTTGCCCGCGGCGCGATGTGATGTTTGAACATTTACATATTAACTAGCTTTTGCCCGTGGCTTATCGCGGTAAAAAGTAGCCTATGACCGTAATCAAGAATTAAACTATCCCTATACCAAATTTCATTTGACGCGCAGTATAATGGAGTACGCAAATAACTTGCGCAACAAGATAAATGAGATTTATGAGCATGTCAGGCAATCAGGAAAACAAATGTCTGAGAATATGAAAACCCGTTAAGACCGGAAAGTGAACAATAAGGGCTTCGAAGAAAGTTCGCTAGTGTGGCTACATAATCCAGTTCGCAGTTAAGAGATATCTCCGTAGCTACAAGCCAAATGGGATGGACCATATCGAGTGGTGACTAAAATCAATGATTAACATCATCCTACCGGATCCAAGTGTCCAAGAATCCTAATTTTTTGAATTCTATTCCTTTAAAATGACTTTAGTTTACGGAAGAAAAGGGGTATAATATGTAATAATAAAAAAGCTATTATTATTCATAGGATCATTTATTTATACCATTATTTACCTGTAAAACATACAAAACTATGAAAATATAAAAAAACAGTAAAATATTTTCGTAAACTTCTTTTTGATTGCTTATACAATTTGTTCTTGTTACTTTATAGAGGTTAATAGCTTAATTTCTTCATTTTCTGGTTATTTAAATAAAAAATAATAATATTAAGTGTGACCTCAACTGTTATTTCCTACCTAAAAAGACGTTGACGCATGGAGGCCACTAAACCCCATACGTTTTCTATAATTTTTAGATCAAGGGGATCCTTAATATCCGAAAGCTGACGAAACCAAACTAATAACTAGCATGGTATATCAGAGCTGTTTTTTTTTTGGCTTACTAGCAACCGAAATTACTAGTATGCCCGTTAACCCCTCCAGTTAAGCTAAAATTGCTTGTGTTAGGAGTGGGTTCATGTGGGTAGTGTACTTTTCAGGATTCGAACCCACGACCTCTTGATCGCAAGTCCAATGCTTTAACCAATAGGCTACCGCCGCTTTAGCAGACAGTTATCTTGAACAAAATACTTTCACTACTGTCTTCCACGGGATAAATATTGTTCACAGTAAGTAACAATACATCGTTCAAAACTTCGACGTAATTAAATCTAGTTTGTATGAAACCATTTCTTTTTATATTCACCAACCATAAACCGCCGCTAAGACTGATTAAAGTAGCGACTAGATAAATAATTTTTTCACTCAACGTCTTTTAATTTGCCGTCTCACAATTTGAAAAATTATAAATTAAAGTAATACACCTCAGTGAACATCGCATAATTGAACAAAGTAACTTACAATTAAGCGTGTTTCATTGGATTTATTATTCATTTCAGGTAAATTAAGCATTTCAGGTAAAATAAGCTATGCAAAACTATAATGTTATTCATGGCTTCAATACTGATATTTACTGGGATTTCACTAAAATATGCTTACTTTTTGAATACAGATATTCAATATATAAACACAACTAGTAGCAATACCTGATTACACGCTTTATATTAGCTTCACTTGTATGTTTGTTTGTATGTTTGTAGCCGACCGCTTTTGGGCGTGATTTTGACTGACTTTAAACGGTCAGAATTCGTTCAAACTTTGTAGATATATCGAGGACCGATGACAATACACCAATTTAAAAAAAAATAGTTTTAAAAAACTAAAAAACACGCTTTCTATAGAAAACCAAACTAAAAAATTTAAAATAAATTTGAAAAAAAACGTGGGGTGCTTTTTACTATTGACAACAGGCACCCAACGCTTTTTTTTCAAATTTATTTTCTATTTCTTAGTTTGGTTTTATATAGTAAGCGTGTTTTATAGTTTTTTAAAACTATAACTTTTTTTTACCAACCGACGTAATCACAAATTTATTACAGCCAGTAAATTCATATTGTTTCAAATCTACCCTCAACTTTTAGTGGCTACTAGTTTTAAATGACTAAAAATGAAATGAATTTATTGACGTTCAATTAGTGACTATAATTATACGTATGTAGTCTGTGAATGTGTGTGTGATATACGTTTATTGAAGAAGGTCGTAAGTTCATAACTTCGTAAAAGTGCTACTGGACTTATGACCGCGACGGTAAGTTTAATACATTACAAATGACAGAACTTACTGAAGAAGGGTCTTGTTGAGGTTTTAAACAAGGCGATTCTTCCATACATCTTTAGCATATGGTTATGCACACCACCAATCCAATTCCATACACGAATGAAAATTTTATGAATGTGGAGGAAGCTGTTATGTCAGGATGGTGGGTAACTGCTTGTATTCTACTCTATCGTCCAATTGCCCTGGACGGGAATGAGCGGTGAATTTAAAAATTGATGACCCAATGGTTTAAGGAGTCACATCGCGATATTAAACTAACAATCTGTGGAGAAAGTTGCCGCCAAAACATGGTGATGTAACGCCGAGTCACGTGCCATTACGATGTGTAATCAGCTGTTGGTTTAGAGGCCAATGAAAAAAAAGAGTCTCAACTGCGGTAAGTGTTGTGGGTTCGATTACCACTCGTGACAACACTTTGTTTGATCCACAAATTGTCGTTCTTAGTCTGGGTGTTCTTTTTGTCCGTTTCATGAATGTTTTTCAGTTTACCCGCGACACAGGATATATTCCTATTACGGGAGTTGTCTTTAAACAGAAAACTATCTTATTTTCTCTTTGATTTTTTATTATTAGTACCTTTAGTGTAAAAAAACTAAATCAATATATATTTTACAAGTATATAAATTGACTTACAAATCCAACTTAAAACAAGTCCGTACAAAATGATAGCAATATAGTTTAGTACACCAAATATTTTTTGTTTCCGATACGCTGCATTCGTCCCTGTAAGGCCATCCTTTAGTATATATTTTCTTAGGCCGATACCCCAGACTAATATATAGTCCTCTAAATCTATTTGATCCAAGTTGCAGTTGTATATAGCTCTGTCAGCGTCATTCATTCTTTTAATCATATTTTTTACATTGTCATCTTTAAATTTGAAAGTATTTGTTGTAAAATAGACATATACTTCAGTCAGTTTATCTATCTTTCGGTAAAGGTCCACAAATCTGAAAAATTAAATTTATTTTTAATTAATTAGGTGGCGCTGGGTACTCCTTTGGCCCGTTTAACGTAAAGAGTATTTTTAAAAGCGACGGGAGTGTTATAAGTTTGAAGTGTCTGTGTTTGTGTCTGTCTCTAGCATCGTAGCTCCCGAATGGATAAACCGATTTTGATTTTGTTTTTTTGTTTGTAAGGTGAATTAGTGGGAGTGTTCTTAGCTATGTTTGATTAAAATCGGTCCAAGATGGCCGCCGCCACAAAATGGCGGATTACATATTTTTTCACAACTCCCTCAACATGGGTATCAAATGAAAGAACTTGACTAGTAGAATACTACACTATGACAAATTTTAAATACGAGATGTGTATCGGTTTTTCTTTTGTTTTTTTTTTTTATTTTGTGTAATGCTTAGACAGGGGTGGTGACAGTCTGTATTCTTAATCCGTGTGGTGACGGATTAAGAATACAGACTGTCACTACCCCTATTCATCCGCCTTCCGGCGACTAACACCACTGCAGAGAGAAGGAAAACTTGACACAAACCCTATACCAACCCGTCTAGCCAGCGTGGTAGTATAGTAGGCCAAAACCTCCTTTCTAAGGAGAGGCCCATGTCCAGCAGTGGACTATTAAAGGCTGTTGATGATTGATGAATTCTTAGAGGAATCAGACTTTCTGGCAATAGCGTCGTGGTTTGAATTCCCACCCAGGACAAATATTTGTGTGATGTGCGCGATCGTTTGTTCTGTGTCTTTATTATTACTATTGTCTATATTTCGAGTATTATTACTTACGACGATATAATCTTTGGTTTTTTTCCAGTCACAAAACACGTAAAATCTAATATATATGCTGGTATATAATGTAAGAGCCATGCCAATATAACATACAGTATTTTACTATTCACTTCTAATAATTGACTTCGCCATATTGATTTTGGAGTTGATAATTTTCGCTTTTCCCTGCGGGAAACTATTCCTATAAAACCTGAAAAAAAATGGGATATTAAGTTTACAGGCCTAATTTTTTTGTTTTTTATTGGAAAAACAATTTCTGCATTAGGAATGCATCCTGTGCCGTGGGGGACTATACAAACATACATGAAATGGGATCGAATAAACAACACTCAGCGCAGTAGGAAGCGGTGTGGCGACCGCTTAGTCCACTACACCATCATCATCATCATCATCATCATCAACAGCGTTTAACAGTCCACTGCTGGACATAGGCCAGCAGTGGACACCATACTTGAAGTCAATTTTCCAACGGGCTTTAACACCCTCTCCACATTGGCTGATCCAAGTGATAGCCGAGCGGAGCAACCCTACATCGCCGGGGACTGCTTAACTCCGCAGAAGACTGCGTGTTCACCTCAATAGCAACAGCATTTCACCGAGAGAATCTTGGGACCACTGATAGAAGTGTGTTAAGTGTTGAGCAATTCTTTCGTTGCTTTACACCGAGTGAGTGGTTACTGGAGACAAACGCGGCCGTCTCCCGGGGGGCGATTTAATGGGCAGAAACGTACTTATGACTCTTGGGCTAGAGATGTTGATTTGCGGCAGTCACATAACATCAGGTGACCAGTGTGCTCGTGTGTAACACCTATTCCATCAAGAAAACCGAACTCTATGATGGGAATCTGGACTGAGATCGCAGTAGCTCGAAGCCAAGTGGCATGTGATAAGAGTGTACGTTCCAAATCCTTAAAAGTCACTTACCAAATTTCAAATCTTTTGCCAACGTGTACACAGGGATATCGGTTTCGCCATTTTTTTTCCTCTCAGTTGAGTCCCAGGCTGCAGCTATTATTGCATTGTTCACGTAATCAACAGGAGCCACAGATAAATATGAATTAACGTCTGTCCAAAATACTCGGAGGACACCAAGACCTGCTCCTAAGTATATCTGAGAACACACAATTATCCATATAAATAACTATCTGAGTAACTAGTCTGTTTCTCAAAAAAAAAAAACCATTTTCGCAACGTTTTTCATTGATTCTCGGTTCCTTTTGGTCATAGCGTGATGAGCCTATAACCTTCCTCGATAATTGGACTATCAAGTACTAAAGGTGCCTGAGATAAGCGTATCTAACCAATTTTATAAGTAGGATTAAGGAAGTAAGATTAAGAATAATCAACAAAAAAACTACGTTATCTTTCGATTTCAATCGAACATTCTTGAAAAACACTAAAATCTGCCCATGAATTATGGAAATAACGGTAAAAAAATTGTACATAGAAAATACTACTATTACATGAGGTGCTTGGATTTTCTTATACAAAAAAAAGGCTGTCGGTCAAATAGGAAAATTTGCAACTATATTAAGTCGCCTTTTTATAACACTCGAACGTATTCTTGAAAATTTTATCTCCCGTGAAAGCAATAACGATTTAAAACGGATGCTCGACTTCTAAGAATCGTGGCGTGAAAATAACTTACGCCGCTGGCTCCTGCCAAAGTGCTGATATCTAACCATCCAGGTGCTGGCTCATAGTATGCTGGAAGTACTGCAAAGAAGAAATAAAAAATCACCACCTATTTTAATAACATAAAATTACTTGCGCCGACTGATTGATCGATTCTAAACCAGTAAGGCTTTTTATAATGGTAAGCACCCAATATAAAAAGGATTTTTGACAATTTCCACCCATAAAAGGGGTAAAAAAGGGACGATTGCATGGAAGTTCGTCGTAATTCAAGTTAGAAACACGAAAGAAGAGAAAGAAAGAAATAACGACACGAGCGAAGCCGTGGTCAATAGCCAGTAAGGTATATGCCCATGTAAATTTGCACTAGAACCCTCTCTTTGTGTAATGAAATAAAGGAGTGGTGTTGTTGGACAGGTAGGAACTTAGTAAGGTAAATTTACTTTCCATTTAAACCTTTATTTTCCTTAAAATATGCCAAATATTCAGTAAATTCTTACCTATTGCAGGTCTCACAATACATATTGGTAAATTTTCAGCTGTTGTTCTGATCAATTCCTCAGCAATACACTTTGTGAATGTATAAGTATTAGGCCAGCCCTCTATTAATCTAGAAGAAAATGAAGTTTTTTTTTTAACACATCTCACACACGGCCGTCTGATCCCAAACTAGGCAGAGCCTGTACTGTGGTAACCAGACTGCTGATGAACATACTTATAAATTTCTAAATACATACATATTATAGATAAATTACACCCAGACACAGAACAAATGACCGTGCTCATCACACAATTATTTGTCCGGGGTGGGAATCGAACCCACGACCTCTGGAGTAGCAGTCAGGATTACTAACCACTAGACCAACAGGCCAGCCGTTTGTCAAATTCTTTGCTTTTGTAATGCTATAATGGCCAAACAAGCATACGCAGCGTGGTGACGGCTATTGCAGTGAGGGTGCGTACTTTCCTTAAAGCTTTAGAGTGTGTACCGGTCCGGAAATACCGTAAGCGACAATTTCTTGCTCAGAGGCCTAGGTGTATGAGTTTCTTTCGAGTACGGCGTTGTGATTGGCCTGAACTAAACTCTTCACCAATTATAACCGTGACGATCGAGAAGAAGTGAAATAAACTTACACTTGGGCCTTAGATAGGTTGCGAGAGGCAAAATCTTTCTTAAAAAGCACACAGTGAGTGTTAATTATCCAAGTGATGATAGTAAATGTTTCTGCGCGTTGAAAGATAGCAGAAATTTGCGGCTGGTATCATCAACAGCCTCTAACAATCCACTGCTGGCCATAGGCCTCTCCTTACAAAGGGAATTTCGGTCTAATATATCGCGCTGGCCAATCGGTGGCCGGTATATGTCCGAATAATTCGTCAGAGCTCTTTTTTTTTTAGATTTAATATTGCGTATTCATTAATTGGCAGCGGATGGATGCGGAATGACCAAGATCGGGATAGTTAGTGCTGATTGGAGGAGGCATTTGTTCAGCAGTGGACGGCGATTAATAAAATTGAAATAAATACGTACTCCTTAGTGATATTATCCAATCTACTTTCTTCAGCAGACTCAGCGAGAGATATCATCGTAGCAGGAGGTACTGGACATGTATAAAACTTTTCCTCTACGTCTTTATTGATGCGGTCTTTTGTTGCAAAGGAAAACGCTGTGGATACATGCACGAATTTTCTAGAACAAACAAAAAGAACCGTTTTTTGTTGTACTTACTTCCTTATCGAGTCGATGGCAAAACTTTACACGGTTTTAGCCCAGTGCTCGGCGACGCGAATGGCGTTTGGCCTTAGTTGATATAAGTCGTCAAGCGGACACGAATTTGGGCTGGCATGTGGCTCATTGTCTGTGGAGCTGCGCCACAGTCGCATTTATTTCCAGGGGAGTTTATCTCCTGGAGGTAGTTTTTCTGCCAATGGGACGAAATTTGGAAGAGGGTTTAATTAAGTAAAATTGTAATGGTATAGTGGGTAGAGGAGCAAACAGGTTACCTGATGACCTGTTTTTCAGCCGTAATACACGTGGTATAACAAAAAAGTAAAGGCATACTGATTTTATAATAACTCTAACATTAAGAGTATAACTTTGTTGACACAGGAATCCGCTGAATTGCAAGATTCGCCCACTTGCCGATACCCGATGTTAACGCTTCAACTAAATTAAAAGTTGAATAACCGCGTCTGAACGGCATTCGACGTAATCGGTGACAAAAACAATTCGAGAAGTTTCCTTTTTTATACAAACGAAGAACATGTAATTCCGGCGACCTAAAACCATTGTATTTTATTTAGTACTAGCTGTTCCGCGCAACTTCGTCTGCGTCTCTCAATAGTAATAAATTTTCTCCGTTTTTGAAACATTCTTCATTGGTGCTCCGCTCCTATTGGTCTTAGCGTGATGATATATAGCCTATAAATGGGCTATCTAACACTGAAATATTTTTTCAAATCGGACCAGTACTTCCCGAGATTAGCGCGTTCAAACAAACAAACAAACAAACAAACTCTTCAGCTTTATGGCTGCCTTTGACTTAATAATTATAGAGATAATATTGTCAAAATAACTAATGACCTAAAATATTAACGGAATAAAAAAAAAACAAACATGTGACCCATTCCAAACTACCTAATTGACTGTTAAAAATTATCACTGAATTCAAAGCGCATGCGCGCAAATTTTTACATCATAATGAAATTTTGATTTTGATTTTAACAAACCCTTAAAAAATATATATCTATACAAATAAATAAAATTGAAGTGTCTGTATGTAATGTCAAAATAATAGGGTTTTTTCATGCTCACACACATATTTGCACGATACCTATGCCTAAAACTAGTTTGAATATTTTTGTCTGTCTGTCTATCTGTTTGTGCCGGGTAATCTTCAAAACGGCTGGACCGATATTGATAATATTTTACTACCAGCTGTCTTTATAAGGAGTAACTTGGCTATTTTTTTTTTCAGAAAAACCCTATAAAATTTTGCCCAGTCCGAAAATCGAACACACTAACGCAGAGCTTTTCAAATTCCACGCGAACGAAGTCGCGGGAACCAGCTAGTATTCTATAAATAATATGTTATATTTGCCATAAAATCTCTTTTTTTAATTACTGTGCATCTACCATCGCTTTGCATCGGCCTGGTACTGGTAGAAAATGCCTACGCCATCTTAAGTTTTTATGTGCATTTAGAATAAATAAATAAAAAAAACGATATAAAACCTTCTCCTTTTTCTAAAGTCAGTTAAAAATTTAATTTAAAAGGAAACCACTATGTAGGACGAGTTAAAACATAATTTCAATGCATAGAAACTTACATCAGGTTATTGCAGCTCTTGGCTAGATCAAGTGCCTCCCTGGTACCTCGAATATTGGTGAGTGTTGCCTTCCGAAGTGGTTCTTCAAAATTCACTGTTGCAGCAACATGGAATATGATATTCACCTAAACAATACATGAACAACTTTTGAACTATTTGCCTTTAATGGACCGCTGCTGGATATAGGCCCCTCCTTAGAAAGGAGGTTTTGGCTTACTATACCACGTAGGCCAGATGTGTTGGTGTAGGGTTTATGTCAAGTCCGGATGTCTTAATAACAGCTGTTCCCGGATCCCTCCTATTACAGGCGCAGAGTGGCACACCGTGTGGTTTTAGTCGGTCCGAGTTCGACACACCACCCCGCCGCAAACCCCGGTGGGGTGACGGTCCGAGGGGATTTCCATACGTAAAAAAATAAAAAAAATAAGTGTTTATGTCAAGTGTTTCTTCTTCTTGCAGTGCTGTTGTCTAGCGTAGTTTGATCCCTTAGTCACATTATGATAATATATTTCAAATACATTCTTATAAAACTAGCGACGCGCCCTGACTTCGCTCCGACGTGATGTAGATCCGAAATGCAATGTAAATGTCGAGTTATTAAGAAATTATAGTTTAAAAAACGTTAGTTCGTTCGTAATTTTGATTTATCTCATAAGCGTTATAATGTAAGGGCTCAAAAATATAATAATAATAATAGTCTACCACATTCACACAACGCCATCTAGTCCCAAACTAAGCAGAGCTTGTACTATGGGTACTAGACAAATGATATAAATACATACATATTTTATTTTTGTAAATGCATACATAATATACATAGAAACACCCAGACCAAATCAAGCATTAAATGTTCATGCACACAAAGGTTTGACTTGAGCGGGTTTCGAACCCGCGACCTTTGGAATAGCAGTCCGTTACACAAACCACTACACCATCCGGTCGTCAAATATATTTTTGCCACATCGTATTAAAAAACCTGGCAATTCTCGGTATTTCTCTACCATAAATGCATGTATTAAGTTGATAAGTACTAACATAGTTATTTTAAGTAATTTTTTATAGACGCGTGGTTGGATACGTGGCACATTGACGTGTCATGTCAATATCTGTCAGATATGAAAGATTGACACATTGAAAATGTTGCCGTTATCAAACCTTACTTGATTTTTAGTTTCTTTGTGTGTTTTTCCTAACTTTTGTTTTGTTTTTGTATGCTGTGCTTTATGAAATAAATAATATTTTATTCTATTATGCATGCACTCACTTGAATCACTCCCAATATTGATGAGAACCGAATTAAATTCCGTATAAAATTTTAAAAGATCTAAGTATACACAGGGTAGTATATATGTACTATGTAAAGATACTCGTACATGCATTGCTTCGTAGCAGTTTGCAATATTACAATTTTCACTTTATTATTACTCAGCATAACTTCAAAACGTATTAACGTAACAATATTTTGACAAATTTAATACTGGCTTAAACTTTCATCATTTTTCTAGAAAATTGATTACATTTTAAGAATAAATAATATCGACTTTGTTATTCGCTGATAATGTAGATTGCTATAGGTGAATTTTTTTTTAAATCGGTCTATGAGAATAAAATTTTCCTTTCTAAAACATTAGCATAGATGAATTGCCTTGCAAAATTTACTTACATGCGTGTTCACTTAGATTTTAAATTTTAAAATTACATGCGTGTACACATTGGGTATAGACAATTCTGAGCACACATTCAATTTAAAGAAAAAAAAAAAATTGTGTGTAAAATACGTATAAGAATTAAGAAAAAATGGGTTACAAGGGCTCTCGCATTAACATATGCAAAAAGTACAATAATATATTGGCGGCTAACAATAAAATTATAGTTCATTATAAATTCTAATTATTCATCAGACTAAGTTTCACAATCCAAAAATAGGTTGGAATGTGTTTGTGTGTGTGTGTGTGTGTGTAGGTGTCATGTGCGTGCCAGCATGGACGTGAGTGTTATTTATCGAGTAATCAGAAACTGTGGGGATGTTTTGTTTTATAGCATTGAAAATCGAAGTACGTTCTCTGTATCATCATAAAACTTATTCATTATTGCTGCTGGGGCTGCAGCGTTTCTGTAGTGCATCAGGGACGTTTGCTGAACATCGCGTAGATTGTTTTTATGCTAACTTGCGTAAAAGATGCACATCTCTGGTGCGCAGGGTGCGCGGCAGCGTCAACAGTACCCTGAACATGATCTCTGGTCGTCTGGACTGTGGCTTCATCAATCGTTGATGCGCAATTTCGTACGTAATGACGCAGCAATGATTGTAGTGTGTATATATGTCTATCTTTCTTTGTTTTGTTTTATGGTTTGTTTTCTGTATGTACTATACTAATACTAGTCTCTAAGAATATTGTTACTTACAAATTGAACACCATGGTCTGCAATAAAAGTTTATTGTTATTATTATTAGCCTGAGTGGTGATTACTATTCTCTGTAATATTGGGACCCACAAAGGGGATAACTATTGCAGAACTTATTTTTGACATTGTACAAATGAAACCCAAGAAATTTATGGTGTCGTGTGAAGTTTTATCACTGCAACTACCCGTAACGATTGCCAAGGATGATCTTTTGGCAACCAGGACCGCACCCATACAGTCTCAGTGTGTTTAAAATGGTTACCCATCCATAGACTCACTTGCCTAGGATTACTTAACTTGTAATGTGTTAACCTACTTGGTAGCCACGAGCATTTAGTTTGATAAATATGGGTGCATTTCTTACCTCTTCTGTAAGTGTGATCCAATCTTTATCACATAGTCCAAGTCTGATGTTAGTAATATCTCCTTCCACAGGAACTATTCTTTCATAAAACTGCGGTTGCTTTTTACGTAGACCATCATACACCTGATTTTGTAGTGAAACAAAATAAACTGCTTAATTATGTTAAATATTTAGAAGTAGTTTATTGAAATCTGACTTAATTGAGTTCAAATGAATAAATAAAACAAATTCTCAAATACTATTTTTACAGCTTTGTTGTAAGCGTTTATGGAAACTATATTTTTTTTGCTTCATTCGGTCTGATTCCAAACTAGAAATACATTTAAAACAGCAACTAATAACCAACCAACCAACATAAATAGGTATAACCTCACATCAACAGCCTTTAACAGTCCACTGCTAGACATAAGCCTCTCCTTAGAAAGGAGGTTTTGTCCTACTATATCACATAAGGTGGGCTAATTATTACAATTAGCAAGATGTGGGCATGCACACCTCTGTCAACGATAGACGACGAGATAGAGACATAATTTATGGTAGTGCTGTATTTGTTCAGCACTACGGTCAAGCGGTCACGGTCATATTTAATAACAGCCTTTAAAAGTCCACTGCTGCACATAGGCCTCTCCTTAGAAAGGATGTTTTGGCCTACTATACCACGCTGGCCAGACGGGTTGGTATAGGGTTTGTGTCAAGTTTTCCTTCTCTGTTCTGCGTTCTGTTCTGTTGTTACCATCAAGAGATCCATCTGCTCGTTTATCTGGTTCTTTGCCATACTGTTGTCCTGCGTATTTTACTCTCTTAGTCAGCTCTTACGACACCACACACGATGTTGGCACTCGGTATTCTCATTCGGTCACCACGCGGCAAAATTAATAGATTAACGTATTAAAACAGTAGATTATAAATTTCTTATTTGTTACAATATAATAAATTTACTTACCGGGTCCTTGAGTATCTTGTTTAGCCTGTCTTGTATAGTCATCGATTTTTTAAATCTTATCAGTAAGAAGATTTTCTTTACAGCGCATGATCTGAAATTATTTGTAGTTATAAAGTCCTGTAACTTCTTCTTTCAACATACAAACTCGTACATATACTTGTGTATTTTATCCTCGAAGGGTTAGATCGAGCTATATTTTATATTATAATGTCACAGAAGTAAACAACGCCATTTTGGAAGTGGTTCATTGGTTTGACGTCAACAATTTGCTTTTAAATGAACAAAAAACTAAGTGTATGCGTTTCATAGGTCAAGCGAGTGAAAACTACTGTGATGATTAAAGATTTGTTACGCCGATGACACATTGGTCACGGCCCGGGGGGTGAACTTTCAAGAGGCGGCACGCCTGGGCACCAGGGGAGTCTCTTTGGTGGTCGGGCGCATTGAGGCGCTGGGCTTACGGGTGGCCTTGGTTAAGACGGAGGCCCTCTTATTCCATGGGCCCCCTTCGTGGTCCACCCCCTGGCGCCGTGGTCAAGTCAGTCCTCGTAACGGTTCGGCCCAGATGAAGTATCTGGGTCTGATCCTCGACGGGAGGTTGCTCTTCGACGAGCACTTCCGGCAGTTTGCTCCAAAGCTAGTCGGCGCTGTGTCTGCCCTAGGTCGACTTTTACCCCATTTGTTTGGACCCAGCGTCGCGACAAGACGATTGTAAACGGGGGTTGTCCGGTCAACTGTACGATGCACCGGTTTGGGCGGCGGCTCTGACCGCCCAGAATAGGGCACGCCTCTGGCGCCCTCAGAGGATATTGGCGGTGAAAGCCATACCCGGTTACCGCACCGTTTCGACGGAGGTGGCTTGTGCGTTGGCCGGAACTCCCCCGTGGGATTTGGAGGCTGTAGTGCTCGCCGAAGTATATCGGTTTACGGCTGATTTCCGGGCGGGTAGTGGCAGTCGGCCCCGCCCGAAGAGATAAGCGAGTGGCGTGAGGCCGCTCGCGGAGCCACGATGACTCGTCACGAGTCATCGTCAGACCAACGGGTCGTCCCGGCTGGATGTTCCACGTGCTGGCTTTGCCGCCGTGGAGGCGCTCCAGCCGGTTATCGTCGAATGGGCAGGGTGGCAGCATGGAACTATTTCCTTTCGACTGACGCAGGTCCGTTCCGGGCACGGCTGCTTCGGGAAGTACCTGCACTCGGTCGTTAGGAGCGAATTGAGTCCCGCCTGCCACCACTGCGATTGCAGTGAGGACACGGTAGCAATTTGCCAGACTTGGGCGTCGCAGCGCCGGGTCCTCATTGCAGTCATCCGCGGAGACCTCATACGCTCCATGGCCGGTGGTGACAGATGTTTTACCGCGGTCGCATCGTTCTGTGAAGACGTCATCTCGCAGAAGGAGGCGGCGGAGAGGGCCCGGGAGGATGACCTCCACTCGGACCCAATTCCGGCGGCGGAGGCGCGTTTACCACCCGCTATAATGGCCAGCCGCAAGGAGGTGAAGTCCGCGCGTGTTGGATATCACCTAAGTAGAGAATGTACCCGAAGGTGGTGACCGCAGGTTCGGTCCGATTCCGACACACCACCCCGCCGCGAACCCCGATAGGACATAGATTTTCATCAATAGTCCACTGCTGGACATAGGCCTCTCCTTAGAAAGGAGGTTTTGGCCTACTATGCCACGCTGGCCAGACGGGGTGGTATAGGGTTTATGTCAAGTTTTCCTTCTCTTTGCAGTGCTGTTGTCCTGCGTAGTTTGCTCCCTTAGTCGCCTCTTACGACACCCACGGGATGAATAGGGGTGGCGACACTCCGTATTCTTAATCCGTCACCACACGGACAACATAGATTTTGTATATGTTTAATTTTTATTAAATTTATTTGCTTACTATTTGACAAATCCGAGATTGTTACTATTGTGTGTGTTGATCTATGACTTTAGAGTCTACATAAAAGACGATTTCAAACAATTTAAAAGTTTTTTTGTCGAGTAAAATTTTAGTCATATCATACACATCCTATAATAGTCCACTGCTAGACATAGCCCTCTCCTTAGAAATGAGTCGTTTGCTTCCTGAGTCCCCTTTTACGACACCCATAGGATGAATAGGGGAGAGGGGAGGGACACTCCATATTCTTAATCCGTCACCGTGGAATTATGTAAGTGGGACTGAAAAATAATAGTAGTTGTTAAACTGCCGATATGAATTGCGTCTTTGGCAATTTCTTCGAAGATGTTTATAAGTAATATACTATTGAGTCAAACACTTGTCGAAGAAAATCTATACCGTTGATAATGATGAAGTTTAGCGTATTATTATGTCAAAGTCATACCTGAACAATTTTTCAATCAGTTGTTTTCCAATAAAACCAGATCCACCAGTCATAAATATCGTCACACCTTGGTAAAACTGTTGCACATTGGAGTCAAAACGATCTATCACGTCGTTCATAGGTTTCTGGCGAGCCAAAGCGTTTAATTCTATTTCCTGAGCTGGATCCATTTTGTATCTGACACGTTCAGTAACATGCAATGAACTGTTCAATTGAAATAAATTCTTTTATTGTTGAGCCTATTTATAATTTATGTTAATATGTAGTAGGACTTAACTGCGTATGATAAATTTATATAAATAGCTGGTATCCGCGTTTGGTTCCGTAGAATTATTAACGCAGCTAGACTATGGACTTGTGCCACTTAAGTTTCAGGGGTTCATAGGCAGCGGTAGCCACTTACCATCGGGTGTCTTTGTGGTTTAACAAAATCCATAATAATATTACAAATGCGAAAGTGTGTCTGTATGTCTATCTGTCTGTTACCTGTTCACGCTTAAACCGCTAATTTAGATAAAATTTGTTATAGAGATTTACGTAACAACATTTTACATGGTAAAATTGTTTTGTGATCTCATTTATTAATTTCTTGTGCACATATCTCTGTAACCCTACATAAACACCTTTTTTTTTTTTTTTTTTTTTCGTGCGGAAATCCCCTCGGATACCACCTGTCGGTGGCATGTCGGACTCGAACCGACTAAAACCGCACGCCGTCGCCGGGTACTAATAGCCGGGGAACCAGGTATACCCTAGAAAGGAAGTCCCTGGTGCCCCGACATACCTCGGGTCATCTACAGACGAGTAGACGACCCCCCCCCCCGTGTCCTACATAAACACCTAAGAAATATTTTGAAAGAATAAAACAAGGTAAATACATGATTATATGATTGAAAGAGTTGTCCTTTAACTCCTAAAGGTCAAGGACCCTTCCATCATCAGCTCAGCAACATGAAACAAAACACTGGAGCATAGAGCCTTGTTTGAACTCGATTACAGATAATGCGTTTTAATATAATTTGATTTGTAATAAAGTTAAATTTATTGGCAATAACGTGATCGGTGCCACAATTTTGTATGGTCCAGCAATATGCCAGACGGTGCTTACACCTCGCATCCCTATGATTTGCCTTTTAATTTTAAACGGACTAAATTTCCTGTGAAATTATCTTTTGCGGTTACAGTTAATAAGACCCACATTTAAGTACGCAGGAATCGATTTACGCCAAAAGTGTTTTACAACATATAACTATAAGCCCGTGTGGTGACAGAATAAGAATACGGAGAGTCACTAAACCTATTAATCCCGTGGGTGTCGTAAGAGCCGACTAAGGGAGCAAAACTACGCAAAACAACAGAACTGCAAAGAGAAGGACAACTTGAACACAAATCCATTTGGCCAGCGTGGTGTAGTAGGCCAAAACCTCCTTTCTAAGGAGAGGCCTATGTCCAGCAGTGCACTGTTAAAGCCTGTTGATGTGATGTGATGTGAACAATATGTTGCCTTATCGATATCGGGTTCCAGAGAGAATCATTAGGTATTTCTGCCGAAAGAAAACAAAACCAGAAATATACGAGTATTGTTCGCAAAAGAACTTTAAAATATTTACCTACATATTAGGTCCTTTTATTCGAAAATGGCGTTTTGTACGGGTGGAATATAGTCAATTTTTTTTTGTAAAATATATTTCTCTGAAGTGATTTCTGATGGATCCTCTTCCACAATAGCCTTCTTCTTCAATTCTTCATTTTCCACTTTGGTCTCCAGCCGTCCACGGGGTTGGTTCTGAAGGTCGAAATTTCCCGAAATTATACAAATATTCTACAAAACAATACATTCATTCATTACATATACTTTAAATTAGGTCGGTCAAAAGTGTTTATTAATAATAATAATAATAATCATTTATTTGCATGAATATGAGTACAGGGTTGGACAATTCAATTAACAAAGGTTCATCATATCCTGCCGGGTAGGCGTGCAAAACTTTTCGTCAGAAACTGATACCTACAGAACATGCAATACATAAATTAATGACAATCAGTTTTATTGGTCAAATATCAGGCAATTACAATAACAATAATTAAGTGGTCAAATAAATGTGTTAAGTCAAATTATTGATAATATGGAAATGTCACATGTATTAATAATATATTTCCGTTTGTGTTTGGAGCTTTTTGATTTAAGACTCCTTCTTTTGCTTGATGCTATTCTTCTTTTCAGCCAATTTCGATTTGCGATTGTGGCAGCGCCTCTGTTTAGCTTTTTAACTTCATCGTTCCTTCAAGAAGGAAGTTGTTTTCCTTAGCCTTTTTGTAGAAAGCATCAACAGAATCAGCATTAACACGAAGTTTGATTTACTTCCCAAAATGCCTCTTGATTAATACTCATTTTCAGCTACATGTAAACTAAAGATATGGAGTGTGGAAATCATTTAACCCGCCGTCAACAGCACAGTTCATTGCGCCAAAAATATGTACACCGGTGGTGGTACATGCCAAAACCGGAGCAAGTAGCATCTGAATACACCTAGAATATCACCATTGAATTAATTTTTTTTTTTTTTATTGTGGCAGCGCTGTAAACGTATGAAGGTCAAACTTTTGAATTAGTCTCCTTGCTAGGAGCTAACCAGTGCTGTAAGTATTGGCATAACTTAACCTTATACCCTTAACACCATGGCAGTTCATGACAAGAAGCAGCACAAGCGATGTGGTCACCCTGAATGCACCACCAACTGGCAGGTCACATCCTTTTTGGAAAGACGTTATTCTTGTCAAGAATCACGAGGCGCTTGCAAGCATAGTAGTCAGTTTTGTCTTCACGGCACTTCTTGAAGTATTGTTTATTCCTATCAACTTTCATGAAACCCTTTTTGTCAAAATCCCATCAAAAAGATCTGGCGCCCAACTGTAGTTTGCAGTTTTAAAGGTCTGTACAAGGAATCGTAAAAACTTAGTTTGGCCACGATTATCTAGAAGACGGTCTGTTTAAATTTAAATTATCTCATTGTAAAATTTGAAATACTTAGAAAAATAGACAATAAAATTTATTAAATTAACAAGTCATTGTTCAGTAAATACTAATACTATTGGAAAGAATGACCTATTGTCCTAAAATCACCTTTTGACTTAGAATTTTTACTATGTTTACAATCAATTAATTTCAATAGTTTAATTTATGTAACTAGATGGCGTTGTTGACATGCGGTGTTAAGATTATCCGTCGATTAAATACAAGGTCAGAAGTGTTGAGATCACGCCGTGATCTTTTACCAATTATACACACTGTCAAGGTATCCGGTGTTTTATTTATCCGAATTCCGCGAAGTATTGTTTAGATATATATTAGTAAATTAATTTGTTTCAGAAACATAGAACTATATATAATAGATTTTATGAAAAACAGTTATGTCAAGAAGCTCAAGAGAATGAAATACGAATAGTCATAGAAAGTAAGTTTTATTGACTAAACGATACCGAAGGCTCACTGCAGCCTTAGAACTAGTATTACTGTACTCTGTGCTTAGGACCATCAAAACGCAAGCCCTGTACAGCTAATCAACTTAATCCTGCATTGATGGCTATCGATAACAGAGCAAGTATCTTAGAAGTCTAGGAGAGATTTGAAATTCTAGAACAACTCTTCGTAACAAGAGAGATGAAAAATAATTATCAACATAAAAAGCTTTTAATAGTCCACTGCTTGAAATAGGCCTCTCCTTAGAAAAGAGGTTTTCGCTTACTATACCACGCTGGCCAAACGGGTTTGTATAGGGTCTGTTTGAAGTTTTCCTTCTCTTTGCGGTGCTTTTGTTTGGCTGAGTTTGCTCCCTCAGTCGATTCTTCTTAGTCGAAGTTGAGAAATACTCTAATGAAAATTGTGAGTCCCAAACCTTTAATATTTAGAAAGTTTAGGTTTACTTGTGACATAAGGCCAGGTATTGGAAACGGTATCAAAATTGGTGGAAACATTGGGTCCGGAGTATGTCGGGCCAAGTGTCTGTATGTTCAAGAAGTCATAATGACCAGATGTTATAAAGACTATTAGTCAATATGTACAAGTCTCTAAACGCCCAAGAAGTCATAATGTCCAGATGTAATAAAGACATTTAGTCAATATGTAAAAGTCTCTGAACGTCCAAGAAGACATAACGTCCAGATGTTATAAGGTCCAAAAGTCAATATGTACAAATCTCTGAATGTCGAAAAAGTCATAACGTTAAGACTGGGAAGCCTTATCACGTTTATCAAAGACATAAAGCATCAGTTCCCCTCATACTCGTACTCAAATTCAAAAATACTGAATCTTCAAGATTTATTTAACCTTACTGCAGCTAAAATATGGGTAATAGATTCGGTGTATAAGAATGGATTGAGCCAGTTTTATACAGTAAATGGGGATGTGATGGTTCCTCTGGTCAAAGTCAGTACAAACAACAACTTCCAGAGGAGTCTGAACTTGTTTCTGATGTTAATTTGTTTATTACATCTTTAGTGCCTTTCAAATTAATGAATGAGATAACGGGCAATATTGTCTGGCAAAATCCAGTGCCTTCGTCAGTCCGTTATTGTCGGCCTATATCAATAGAATTTTGCAAAGAAACTTCTTTAAAAAAATTAAAGCTGTTGTGGATGACATAAAGAACCAAATCCTTTTCTTGGGGCCATCGTTGATTAATAAAGAAGTTGAAAGAGTGAATGTGAAGCATGAACTTCTTATGACAATGGTAGATGGCAAAGTAACTCAAGTATTAACTGATACACCTTCAGCTTCCACATGTACAATTTGTTTAGCTAATCCACGGCAAATTAATGATCTGACTAAAGTGACTGCTAGGCCAGAAAATGAAAATTCAAATCAATACGGGCTTTCTACATTGCACGCCTGGATTCATTGTATGGAAATGATATTACATATTTCATACAACCTCTCTTTTCAAACTTGGTCAGCCACAAGTGAAGTGAGAAAAGAAACAGCAAAAGGAAGAAAAGAAAACTTTAGTAAAAAAACGTTTTCGTGGGGAGCTAGGATTGATCATCGACAAACCACGACAAGTAAGTGGTAATACCAATAACGGTAATACCAATGACGGAAATACTGTTAGAAGATTTTTGTATAATGATGACTGTTCTGCTAACATCACAGAGGTGGATGTAAATTTGATTA